GGGGGGGGGGTACTCAATACCGTAATACCGCAAGCAAATTTTGTCAATTACCACAGCTTTTGAGTCCAAATTGTAAATACCGCCGTGTACCGCAAGATTTCCAATATCGTAATACCACAATTTTTCAAGGAAAAGACGTTTCGAGCGAAGGCGCTTCGACTTGTGCTGTTAGTGTTTGTATACATCGTACTTGACCTTTGCTGATAAATATAATCTCCTCAATAATAAGTATTATATATTTTGATGCTTTAAAATTTACATTTAACTCTTCTATCAGAATTTATGGTATACGAGGAATCAAATTTTCGACGAGAAATTCCAAATACTTTGTTTATATAGAACTCACGTTGGAAATCCAACGTACTATCTGCCGTTAGCCAATCACAGGCCTGAATCAATTCGATTTCTCCAGAGCTATGCCCACCCTTAACCTGCGAACGGGCATGCTCGGGGAACGAGATTGGTCCGCCCCCTAATTTTTTCCTTCCGGTACGCCCATGTTTGCTAAGATTTGTTGCATGACAGCCATGATTGATTCTGCTGTGGAATTGGTGTTTACAGGGATTTGTCGCATGACTGATTGCATTCTCCGTTAAGTGCTTATCTGGATTCCTTTTCTCTTGCTTTTCGACCTGTATTTACGCTTTAATTAACGTTTTATGAGATTCCAGGTTTTCATCAACTGATAAAAGAGAGACCGGGTTTTCATCTACTAATAAAAAGCGATTTGTCAGCATCTTTGGTTTGAACATTGTGAATAGAATTACGATGATCAGACTCGCTAATGACTTCACTTGATCTGATGATTAATTATCTTGCTCGACAAAGCGCGTACTTTTTATTGAATAAGTTTAATAGCAGCTATTAGAGTAAGGCCCGTTTCATACGCCGTACTTCACATGTGCCGAATAATTAAAAACATATGGGTAATGAGTCATTTCAGCTTATTACCTATTGTCTTTAATGTATTCGGCACATGTGAAGCGTAGCGTATAAAACGGGCCTAAGTTTCTCATTTTCAATGTCTTAAACGCGAGTGTTCAGTGTTGAGATTAAGCCTGCCACACACGAGAGCCAACTTGCTGAGCCAGCCGCCTCGCGTTGTGACTAGCTCAGCTATGCACTTTTACCGCACACGTTGGGAAAACTAGTCAACAACAACATAATTGACAAAATCATTTGCATTTTCCTCCATTTTGTTCCAAGTCACATGAAGAAACTATGGTTTCTCATTGGCTAATTGATTCAAGCAGCTCAGCACTGAGCTCACAACATCCGCAGACGTTGAGATTTTTTCCTCGCGAGGCAAAAAATATCAAACACGATATTTTCCTCAAGGCCTCGAGAGTTCAAATCCTCACGAAAACTATTCACACACGAGAGAAACTTGCTGAGCTAGCTGCCGCGCGAGGTTGTTAGCTAAGCAAGTCGGTCTCGTGTGCGACAGGCTTAGTTATGACAAACAACCAGGTAGCCTGCATGGCAGGCGGTATTTCTAAATGTGCCGAACGCATTAAAAACTAAGATAATCATCTGAAATGCCTCATTATATCTTTTGTTTCTAATGCGTTCGGCACATGAGAAACGCAACGTTTGAAACAGGCCTCAGATATCAAAAACATATCGTTCGGAAACAGAGCCAGACCGGGCCTTGGCTTTAGCTCGTTCAGATCATTAAGTATGCCATTTAGTTTATCATGGAATTGGTCTTCAAGATTTTTAATTTCCACGTCTAGTACTCTTTAACTCAGTGCCATTTCCCAACCAGTGATATGAAGCTCCATCAAACGATAAAGTGGCATCCATGCTTTCAAACATTTTCGTAAGTAAAATTCAACAGAAATCAGCGGAGCACTATGAAGCAGCTTTTCACCTCACCACGTGCAAGTCAGCTGAAGGTTCTAAATTTTTTACAGGTTCTAAATCGCGTAAACATAAATAAACATGACTTTCAGTCAGGAGAAATGCGATTAATCTCGGTGAGAGACTAGCTCAAGAAGGTGTTAATTAAGTTAGATGGCGCCAAACTTAAAGCGATAAGAGATTACATCAAGCTCTCCAACAAACAAGGTGTTCAGAAACTTCTGGGCATTATTGCCAAGTTTGATCCTAAAGTTTCTGACATATCACTGCCCCTCTACGCCAATTAGGTGCTGTTTACATGAATCCGGATTGACTTTCAATCCGGAATGAACTCATTCCATTTTAATACAAACTCTAAATGTTTACATGAGTCCGGAATGAGTTACAACTCGATCCAGATCGAGTTCGATCCTAATCAGTAATCACATTCCGAATCGACATTTCAATCCAGATCGAAATCTGGCTTTGATCTCATGTAAACACGAATCGAAACTCATTCCGGAATGAGAAAGCGACCGGATAAGATAACATGGCTATTTTTGTCTTTCTTAAAATGACTTTTTGCAATTTGCAAAATCAGTAGCTCATGCACGTGTTTAAGTGTATTAGCGCAGTGCTGTAGAACTAAATTTACCAGAGCGGGGAGGGGCGGGGGGGGGGGGGGGC